AGCTCACCAGAAATCAAAAAGGATTAGTAGGTCACGATCTTGCAAGCTACCTGGTATGGATCAGCCCAGGAAAGGACAGAAATGGAGTTTAGCTGGCAAAGAAAAAATGTTTGCCTGGGGCAGTTTGCAGGATCCAGTTTTCTGAGGCACGAATTAGTTAAAATCAGTTTGGTATTTTATTTGGGATTTATAATAGTTATCATTCTAAGGAATATTTTAAATAAGAAATGTGGAAAGCAGGATATTTAGCAGATTATAACAAGATGATTATTAATGTGCATTAAACACTTTCACCAATGCCAGTGATGCCTTATACAACATAAAGTTTTGTCCATGCATCCCTAAAAGAAAAACTTTCCTGAACCAATGTATAATTGACACATTTTGTTTTTCAAACAGTAACTTGAATTAATATTTTATAAAAACTGATTGCCAATACAACATTAGAGAGTAGAGGTAGAGAAAGTCTTGAAAGTGAAATTAAAAAAATATCTGGACTCCCATTTCCTCCAGAATTCAGTGCTCTAAATGTGGTATCTGAGCAAACACAAGCTCTTGACCTCAAATCTATATTCTTCTTCGAGGTTTGTCCACTAGGATAAGGAAGGCTGTGTAGCGGTTAAATACAAAACAAACTTGAAATTGGTACCTTCTGAGGTTTGGTTCTGACCAAGCTTTGAAACAAGATTGCTTTCAGTCAATTGGTTATTTCAGCACTTGACATCACCCCCACATAAAACAAGGCAAATGGCCAATTAACTAACTGGAAGTTTTCCAGTTCAAAATGGTGCCAAAATGAACGAAGATGAAGTGGAGTAGAAGAAAAAAAAAAAGTTTAAATTGGCTGAACAGTCAGCTCTCTATGGGAAGCTGAAAATAGAAATCAGTTCATGGAACTCAGGAGCTTCACTATCTTCTATTTGGGGAAGATCAAACTTCGGCATTTGCAAGTTAAACAGGGATCCCCAAGGCTTCTAGAGAGTACTTCATAAAAAGAGGTTTTATATAGGACCTGTGTATTTTGCAAATAAAACTGTAGCACATTAAATTCTAATCACATTCTATTCATAGCATCTGAAATCAGAGTATAAATTTGCTTCCTAACGATAATTATCTGGACTGGAGTTTTAATCTCACATGTATGCCGTTACCCCTATGCAAACATGGATAAATTTTGGCTTTTTCTTTTCAGCAGCATTCAACTATTTTGACATTTTAAGTGGTTATGAGTTGCTTTTAAATAAAGAGAGCCTAAGGAAATCAGATTATATGTTAAGCAGTAGTACTTGAACTGAGAAAGAAAAGAATACAACATTGTAGAATAACCTCTTTTCTTGGGACATAATGCTCAAGTTCCAGGAAAAAAAAAAGCAGTTAATCACATCAGCTTTGTAAATATAATTTCTATAAAAGTCAATGCCACTTTAAATACATCTGTCAGGCCCCTCTCACAAACTCTTAAGCTACATCAGAAATGGATGCAAGTATTCTAAATAGGAAAAATTCTCCTGCAGAAAATTTCCTGTTATAAAATTGTTAATTAAGTTAAGGAACAGTACTTTAGTTTTCTGTCAATGACAAAACATAAACAGGACAGTACAGTTCTAGTTATATATACCAAGATTTACTTTGAAAGGGTTGAAGACAAATATAAAAGAAGCCACCTGATCCACAAGCCCTTTAGTTCCAGCTGAACCCAAACAATGCTTCGTGGAACAGGGTTTTTGGTAAATAGATGCCTAACGATGCAGATAAATAGCACCAACAATTTTCAAATGATTCAAAACAGCACACTTCACGTCATTTTTCTTGTATGTGTCTTAAAACTTTTTTTTTTAAGTTAATCTGGCTAAAAAGAAAGTTCATGCGTTTTCATAACTTTTATGAACTGTCAAAAGAACAATGTATGCAGAGAGGAGATCATGAACTCGTTGCAGGTTCTGGCACTCATAGCAGCTGGTCATAAGGGAAAATACCTTCACACTGCTGTTTGTGAAAGAGACTCAATTTGATCCCACCAAATTTTAGAACCACAAAAGATAGGAAGCTGCATGAGTCTAATGTTTCAAATATGTTTTAAAAGCACCAGCCAGACACAATGTACCTATTGGTACCCACCACATCTCACGAGACTGACCCAAGCAAGGAGCTGCTTAGAAACAATTTTTAGCTGCGGAGCTGTTACTGAAACGATCAGCTACAACAGCTCTGAGCAGGCAGATGACTTCACCAGTGTGGATCTGTGTAAGATCAAGGCCTGAGCACATTTACTCCCCTCATCTGGCCTCAGCTTCAGGAAAAAACATGCTTCCCGCCCACCCCAGCCTGCTCCCTATGTCAATGGACATTAAGCATATGTCACTTCACGTTTGGAAAGCGCTGCATTATTTAACTTCATTACCGTTTGCTGGATTGCTTTCAACCAGTTCTCACCTTGCAAAAAACTTTTAAATGCATTAATATGGCACATACTTAAACTCCACCATATGTGAATCGTATGGATCAGTAGTGGGACATCACTTATGGAAGGAGACCAGGCACGGGGCAGTGGCTCGTCTGCCTCCTCCTACACACCTCTCTGACTAAATTTATTTCTATCCCGCCAGTCTCCAGAGAGCCTTTGCCTTCCCTGCAGAACAGGGTCTACTCCCTCTCTCCGTGTTGCTTAATCCTTCAGAATTATCTGACCTTTCTGCTCAGCCTAGTGCTCCTTGGCCATACCAATGGCAAAGGCACCCCTGAATCTTCAACCACAGCTGCTGCAGCACTTCAAAGGCAGCTACCACAGCTAAGGATTTAGACTGCAGCTGGAATCCGAAGGCTCAGGGTGCGGTCCCCAGGGCTGAGCAAAAAGAGCAAAGCTCATTTGTAAGGATTAAAACGTGGACAGGTAATGGATCTAAATGGGGCAGCTAGGGCAGGGAAAGGCAGGGAGAGTGGAAGTCAGTATACAATACAGAAAATCTGAGGAGGTTAAGAGGGGCAGCAAAAGGAGGGGCTGGGGGCACAGAAGGCAAGAGATTCCTGGTTAGCGTGAATAAGATACATGTATGTTAGGGAGGAAGAATGAAAGCAGCTTGGAAATGTAAACAAAAATATCTTCAGAGGAGGTAGGGCTTTAACACAGAAAATGGTAAAAAGATGAATGGGAATAAAACACCAAAGCATGTAAAAGTCAAAGACAGCTAGAAAAAACAGGCACTGAGAATAAAAGATCACGATGAGTCAGAGACATAAAATCCATCTGCAAAGTAGCTTGGACTGGGACATGTATGATAGCCTTCATACTGCAGGATTACCCCAAATGTAAAGCAGAAGTTTTTTATTATTCAGAGTAATAATGGGTGTTGCGTACCAAGTTATGAAAAAAGCATTTTGTTCTGAGAAGCAAGATTACAGAAGTTTTAAGAGAACAGCAGTTTGGTTTTTAAGACCATGCTACATCTTACTTGGGAAGCAAGACTATGAAGTTGACTCACGCGCAACTAGAGGAAGATGGGTCTAGCCCATCTAGCTGAGCCTGCCTGTGCTCAGCTCCTCCGAGGGGAGGCCGTTCTCAAGAATATTTGAACATATGGGCAGAGTTCAGGACACAAACACACCAACAAATCTGAGCATTCAGAAAAACTTACCACATGCTTTGGAGGCCATAAACTTGTAAACTTATCAGCTACTTCAGGAAAACTGTTTGAAGAGAAGTTCTCGTCTGGTGGTAGTGGAAGATAGCTCACCTTTCAGTTGCATTTAACTATAAGGTAAAGCTATGCAGTGGGACACGAACCCCAATGGACAGGAGACTGTAGACAAGATCACAGACTGTAACCCTAGAATAAACAGTTTACTGCAAATTCACACCTACCTTAGTGTTGAATAATTTTTCAGTATCTCAGCTTGTTTCTTAGAATTTGCCACGTTTGAATGATAAAATATTACAACACTAAGTCATTATCATGTAGTTACAAAACTGTGTCAAGTTGCATGTTGTATGGTTTAAAAATGAACTTTGCTTTTCAATGAACTTGGAATATACCAGAATAAGAACAAATAGCACATTTTTGCCATCTGCAATCTTTTTTTTTTTAAGACATAGTTAAAATAGTTTAACTATTTTATTAAACTATTAATAGTTTAATAGTTCCAACTATTAAGCCCTTGCTTGAACAGCTTACTAGGAACACTCACTTGAAGGACCTCAGCATTTTCACTTGTGATTACAGGCTTCCTTCCTCAGCCTTACTAATTCTCTAAATCTCCAAATGTTTTGTTGTACTTTATAGTAACACATTGTAGAGGTAAAACAGGAAAAGATTTTGGATTTGGAATCAAGTTGGCTTTATTTTTTTTTTCCTCTCCTTAGCTTTCTATTCAGGTGTGCCAGCCGTGAACTGCATGTCTCAAAGAGACTGCTAGAAAAGCAACAGAGGAGAAATATGATGATCACAGAGCAGACAGTTTTTTATTTGTTGTTTACTCTGACCTAGAAGAAAAAAGTACCAGGCCAAAAGTCATTCAGTTGGTTATTAAAAATGACTGATCCTAATTGATCTATCAACAGTTTCTAATGCACGCTGAATATATCACTCAACATTTACAGCCCAAACTGTTGACTGAGGTTCATCCATATTCATGAAGACATGTGAGCATATCTACTACCACAAGAAGTAATGCTGATGTGGGAATAAAAATACACAAAAACACTAGCATTTTTCAGAGCATCCATAGAGATACCTTGAGACTTCTGAAGAGTAACTATTTTTATATTAGAGCTTTATTTCAAGCACTCTTTCTTACTGGATACAATTTATACATTTTGCACTATGTATATATATTAGGGGAATACTTTCCAAATTATCCCTAGATAAAATATATTACGTGCTTAAAATTATTCCAGCAATAGCTTTTCCAAGTTACATTTTGCCAAGTGTTAGTTCAGATGACAGGAGAAAAAAAGAAAAAAATTTTAAAATGCTTTGGCAAAATACCCTTCCATAGTGACGTCTTTAAAAGTATTTTGAATGCAGGACTTCTTCATCCATATTTATTCTGGTATCAGTCAAATAGATAGGAGGAAACACATAAACACAGTTATACTGCTTTATTTAAATATAATTTAAAAGAATATAGATCTTAATTTTTCATAGTGTGTGGTCTCATGTTTGAATTTCAGCCAGTCAAAAAACTGACTGCTGCTTCTCAACGCACAATGGTGCAATACATTTTTGAAACCTCTAATTGCATTGTGGCGACGATCACTGTTAAAACAAAGTTCCTGGTAATCCCAGAGCCTGTGTCAAGATAGGAGGACCGCCAAAGGTATCAAAACAGAGAAGAATAGCATGGTCATTGAACTGCACACATTGAGCTTCTAGGAGGATTAACGGTTCTTGTCACAGGCTCCTGGCTGTAGTTGACAATATCTGCCTTCACCACCCTCTGTCATAAAAGAAAACACAGTAACAATCAGAAAATATAACCTTCATGTTGACAAAGCATTCAACAAATATTTTAGTACAAAATACGAAGAGAAAAAAATTAGGCAAAACAGACACTGTTTAGGGTTTTTTTCATTACTGTACAAAAAGTCTTATCAGGTGCTAATTCTTGTTCTAAATACCAGTTTATCCATACTATGCAGAAGGCAGCACCTTGGTAGGTTTTCACACTACAAGTGGAACATGACTTTTTTGCAAAAGCAATGAATACTGTTTTACTTCCATGAAAGTTGTTTTGTATGGAAATAGTAAAACAGTATTTGTTTGCAAAGACTATGTATGCATTCTTTAAGAATAACTGCCTAAACTGTAATTGGAAATTGTACGTAAGTTTGTCTTTCCATCTTTACTCCAAGCACTGCACAGGAAAATATGGACAGAATTCAAAACAAATTTCAAATACAATATTTCAAAAAAACTTTCATAGGCAGACTGACTAGAGACTAAATTAACATAAGAAGAACCTCTGCATACCATAAATATTTATTTTCTGCTACAGATCCAACAGATATTACCCATTCTATTTACAAAGCATTTGATAAGACTGTCGGTCTCTCCTATATTAGGAGAAGGAAATGAGGTTCCAGTTTTGTGTCCATTTCCATCTGAGGCAGCTATGTAACATTTTCGATATACAGCACTGAAGGACCTTCCTAATACAGTAACATGAAAGATTTCAAAGTTTCTATGAACTTTCTGGTTATTAGAAAGACTCTAATTGCACACAGAGTTCCAAATTAATATGTTAAGTATTTCAAGTGCTTAAAGAGACAAAATATATTTTTCCAACAGAACTTACTGTAACAGTTGTTACTTTCATGTAAAAGCAATGCAGCTTGGAAAAAAAAACAACCACCCAAGTTTTCCATCAATACCTGAACTACTGCATTGAGCAGACTTTGCTCTGGCAGTTGGAAGTGTTGTGGTGTTGGTTATCTTCTTCAGGATATTTCACTAGTTCTGCCCTGACAACATGCTGTTAATCATGTATCAACATAATGGATAGAGGGCAAGGAGAAGAATGTAAAAAGAAAAGAGAAGGGAAAAAAAACAGAGAGATTCATCAGTAGTTGAAAAGAATGAAATGAATGACATAAAAAGACTATGCAGAAGCAAAATAAAAGTGGGTTTCTCTTCAGCTCTTATGCTGAATATGATACAAGAGCAACACTCTAGCTGAACGCATCACTATCAGCATCAGGGTTGCTTCTCAACCTTCTTCAAGAACGTGCCCTTTCAAAGCACCGAAGTGAAACATTCATACATGCAATCAACGGAAGTGTGTTAAAGCAAGAGAAGGGACAGAATAAAAAGGAAGACAATTCAGGGGAAGAAGAGATGACAATGGCCTATTCCTTTAAGTCTAGGGTACTTAAATGTTACTTTAGTTAGCTTCCTAATAACTATTTTAACAAGTAGATGTACACATGCATCTTTTCCATTACATAACTATTGCATTACAACTAAATAAATAATCAAAAGCAGTGATATAAGTTAACAACCTCACATCTAAGTGCTGTAAAGCTTTGATTTTTATTTCATATAAAAACAAAAGGCTTTCATTTTTCCTCTTAAAGAAAAAACAAAACTTTTGAAAGTTTTCTCACTATCAATACAGCATTCAAGCAAAGGGGAGAAAAATTCATAGAACAATTTCAGCAAATCAGTAACAGAAGAGGTAGGTCTGCTATGAAATATAACCTAAACCAGTTTAATAGCTTTTTCTTAAAAACTTCAACTTCTACACAATATATTTTCAAGGTTAAAACGAATGGATAAATGAATAAATACTATTATTTTAAAGGAAACAATATATAAACCGGATTATATGACTACATAAACAGTGTATGTTAAAGATTACCTCTGTAAATAAAACCTGTATGTCAAACAAGCAACAATAATTGAACTGGCTGGTAAGGGATCTGGATTTATTAGCTGCTGATGTACTCTTCTTGAGTTTAATTGATGACATTCATATTATCTTATCTAGTGGACAACACTCATGATTTACTGGACTCCTGGCCTGATGTTATCAAGGGAAAGGTTGCCAAATCCCATGTAAGGTGGCAGGAGGAGTTTTAGCATTAAAGAGTGTTATCTGACCTCACAGGACCTACTTTCTTCATACCAATCTTTTGACGAGAGCTGAGGAGGAAAAAAAAAAAAAAAAAAAAAGTCTTGCAATCAGTAGGCAATTAATTGTGCCTCAAACCATTGGTCTAAATCCCATCCTGTAAACACAGGCAGGTTAGTGACCCATGCGTTAGCATGCTGTAGCAAGAAAGTGACTATCATAAATGACTTGGATTTTCTAAAGGAATTTAATCTAAATAAGAGTAAAAAAAAACCACCGCAACATTTCTTCTATTAACTTCAGGATAATTAAAAACTTGAGCTTCTTTGTATCAGTTTCTGTGTCAGGCATATCATTGCCACGGTTCAAACCACTGTCAATAATGAGAAATAATCTTTCCTGGTGCAGGTCCTCTGAATTTCACATCTGATTTATCTGCCAAACATTTTAGTGTACAAAGCTGGCACACATACCCTAGTTTGCTGAACTGGCATTTAGAGAGAAAACTACACATCACTTACAAAAATGCTAGCTCTTGCCAATGCCAAGGAACAAAGCTGTACCCCATGCAGTTTTTACACTACAGTTGAAAGTAAAAAGTATAGAAAGAAAAACATTTGATTAGTAAAGGAGCTATTTCCTCAAATTTCCTCAGACCCTTGCGATTTAAAACGGAGAGTATTTTGAGGACTGAAAATAAGTCAGAATCTGCAATTTTCTTACTTTGGAACTGTTCCACTTCAAAAACATGCTCTACTTTCCAGTCACGCATAAAGAGTAATCTAGTTCTTTGTTTCACCACAGTTTTGACCAAATAAAGGTTTGATTAACAGTCATCTCAGCATGTTAACACACAAGGTTTAGTAGCTCTAGCTGAGACAGTTTAAAAACTTACCACCCCCAAATGTCTGTCCTATTCCTCTGCTGGAGATCACTGCTGCCAAAGGAGAGCTGGTGGAATGTAACGTGTACTTGCACCTCATCCGCTTCAGCACAAAGTCTGGCAGCTTCACTTAAAAACAACTTTTCAGCAGCAGTTTAAGCTAAGCTGCTCAACTTCACCCTGATGTGGCCAAGGCACATGATCACCTTCCATTTTCTGATTCTGCTGTAGGAGTGATAAATTCCAGCAAAAGGGCAGTAACAAATAGCTTGGGTTGCATTAATATCTTAAACTGCTGCAGCTGTCTTCTAAAACAATGCACGGTAAATAAATATCTAAGGCTTATTCTTGCAGTTAATTAACAGAATTTTTGCTGTTAATTTGAAGGGGACCAAGAACCCCATCTACCAGTCAAAGCTCAGAAGTCATGACTCAAGCCCCGCAAATTCATACAAGTTAAAATAATGTGTTTGGGATTCCTATTACTTATTTCTAACCACCTGTGAGTCACTTTTAAGTTAGATCTTCCTAGTGACTGTGACAATCATAGCTGATTTCAAACACAGTAAATATGATCTTCAGGCATAAAATCAAAAAGACGAGAAATAATTTTAAAGGGTATTCTCAATATTAGACAATCAGTAATTATGAAAAAAATGCAAAATAAAACATAATTCACATATAACATTTCACTATTGGCATTTTACACAAACTCAGTATTTCATCTTATACTTTGTTACCACCTACACTGAATGAAGACATCTGATGTTCTGACAAACATATTCAAGCAACAACCTTCTCATTTTTCATAATGAGGAACCCTCACATTACACAAAATATGGAAAATTTGAAGATATAATCCAGTGTGTAAATAGGGCACATTTGTAAAAATTTATTTAAGGATGAGTCACACTTACTATTGTATTTTTTGTTTCTTTATACCATTTATCTAGCATCCATCTATCTATCTATCTACTTTTACAGTCCAATAGCTAGAGTATTAAATGCCTAAAAATTTTAAGGAACACATTCACATAACTGTTCTACAATTTAAGGAAGCCCTGTGCCCATTTTACAGATGGAAGGGAAGAAAAAAAAAAAAAGGATAAAAACAAGCACCACACTAAGTAACCTGTTACCTGTCATAGCAAAAATCTGTGGTAAACCAGGAACCTAGTAATGGCATCTAACCAGCCAAGAGATCCGCTCTATGGTTTTGGGAAACAGCATCACCACATTACTTCAGTTAGTCTTTTCCACTGCAGACTAATAAATTTCTCTCAAGAAATGTCCTTCTATTCATCTCCCTGAGGACATGAAGGTTAAAGTTTTCCTTCTCCAATTTTACATAGACTTTACCTTTCCTATCTTACAAGTGACCAACATATTTGGTTCCATACAAGAAGGAACCTTAAGATACAGCTAACAGAGAGACACTCCAATACAATTCCCATTGGTTTCTCACTGACTTAAATTTGGGCAATTCCTAAGGCCCACTCAAAATAGCACTCTGAAAGGAAGCAAATGTTTTACTGGTAGCGAAGAACTGTTGCTTGTTTGGAATAGATTGAAACTATGCTTGATTAGCAGAATGTTGCAAAGTCAAGCAGCTGCCTTCCAGCTCTGACTCTTTAGCTACATGCACAGCGTAGCCCCACGTAGTGACTCCTGCTGTACCTGAAAGGCGACAATGAAGTTTCTTTTCTGTCCAACTCCATTTACCAGCTTTGTTTCTACTTTTGTTGTTGTTGTTCTTAGGGGGGGTTACCTTTTTTTTTTAATCACTATAGCTTGGATTCACATTAACAGTAATGTGTGAGGCCACAGTGAGTTTTTAATTTATGCATATGAGATATTTATAGGTTACTGCTACTGCAATTTGTGTAGTATCAATTTTGTCTGATCCACATATTGCATATTCCATTGCAATAACCCAACAAAATTAAAAACTGTAATTATAATACTAAGGTAGGAAGAATCCTACTTAAAGCTGATACCAATTTGACGTAGAAAGTTAGGTACTCTTGACTCAGGGCTATATAGAGGTTCTTACTTTAAAAACAACCTAAAAATAGACACTTTCTTTAGAAAGCTACAATTTTCTGCATAACCCCATTTCTCATATTCTCTTTTTAATTTAAGGTGCTTGCATACCTATCTACAAGCTCACACCTGAGTTACCAGAACACACCACCGCAGAGAGGTCTAAGACAGAGTTCCAGTGCTAGCTAAACAACCAAAAGAACTCTCTATGTGCTAAATTATTTATATGCAAATAATCATAGAGCTCAGAACAATTGATGGATGGTACCTTTGCAGTAAAAGATCATTGAAAAGACACAGTATTTCTCTAACTATAAGTTACAGGTTTTCAAAGCTCCTTAGCTTTGCTTTAGGTATGCACTATAAGTATATTTTACCATTTTACTGTTTGCAATAAAGTTTTCTAGCTAACCACTTCAACACAGATTGTAAACACTGCTGTGCAAGACATTGCCAGAAATTACAAATTTATTGTATATTTCAAAAGCAGGAGACCAAGCTGTACATAAGAAATGTTTGGCCTTTCTTTTAAATAAACCTATGGACTTGTTTTGTGGTATTTGTTTAATATTCATGGTAACCAGCAGTTCCAAGATATCACACTACTAGAACCTTTCGTTCAATAAGTAAATTTACTTATTGAATTTAAATTTACAATAAGCGTATTGTAGTGTTAAACATCATTATACAGTAAGGGTTGCCTCAGTAGTATAATCTTTGTTTTCGAGGTTTCTGAAACTGGGTTCGTATAAAATCTTTGGTTTAAACCTATGCACACAGTCTTCCTCGCAGGAAAATTATTTTTAGAAGCAGGAACTAGGAAGGAGGTGGTAAGGGAAAAAGGGTTATATTAGAAAACAACCTACTTGCCTGTTATTTGAACAATTAACACATTTTTAATCTGCTAACTTCCACTGATAAAAATTAAGTGACTTTGAACTCTGGTAAATACAATTAAGCAAGTACTTACATTGTAATTAATGTAGTTCCAGTTCAAATGTTTAAAAACAGTGGAAACGTTTTCTCCCCACTAATTCATAAGGTCATAAAACAATGTTCTCGTTAGAGTCATTTTGCATACGTGAATTACTGAACAGCATGAACTGCAACAAAGCTCTGCTACAGTTCCGAGCAGGACGTGCAGCAGGGTTTTCCCATGCATTCACAGTGAAATCGCTATATTCACATCCCTAACTCACTGCTAACCAATGTAAGAGAATGGGGGACAACCTTTGTGACGACCTTCCCACCTATTGCTGGGAAACATTTTCCTCTCTCTCAGCCCTTTCTTACTGCAGAGGAAATGGCAGAAAATCCCCAAGATAACACTCATAATGCAAAGAACAAAACACAAAATGCAAGGGCAGAAACTATGCAGGTCCTTTAGGGGGAGATTATTTGGGACTGGTACAGTGAGAAAAATAATTGCAGATGCCAGGGGCCGTAATAGCTACCCAAACGCATGACTCCACAGGTCTGCCTGCTGTTGAGAATGGGTGTGCTGAACCAGAAAGGATTCATTTCTCATCTGCACATCATCATAAAATAGGAAATAGTCACTAAAATGTCAATATTCATTCCCCGAGGCAGATATTCACTACTGAGGAACGTATTCTTGTCCTGTATTATACACGCACACAATGAAAAATAAAATCAGAGATTAACCAAACACAGGATTTGACATAGTTAATTCCTGACTCTGTGACTGACAAATAATATTTTTTCCTGTGTGACTACAATGAAGATTGGTTTGGGACATTTCCACTCACAGAAGCTTATGCCTTCTATCCCTTAAATCTCTGTTCTAAAATGAAATTTGTTTTTAAATATGTAAAGAATTAAAAAGGAACAATTATCATTAACACTGTACCTGACATCAATGCACAGTAATTAATGTATATGTGTCTTCCATGATACCTGTATATGCATACGTATAGAGAGATTTTAATTTCTAAAACAATCTTAGGTACTATTTTTACAGGAAAAGCTCTCAAACTGAAGTTTTTTCCTGATTTTGTGAACACATATTTTCTTGTTTCAGCAAGTTTATCATGATGGATAAATAAAGAATTATTATTTTTTTAAAGCTGTTGTGAAAGTAATTGTCTTCAGAACAACAGATGCAGCTTGCTTTAAAGGACAGTTATTAATTTGCAATTAGATTTCTTTTTTAATACTAAATAAAATACTCAGAAAAAACATGTATTTGTGGAAAATCACCTGTGATTGTTCCAATTCTGCTTTGTTTAATTTGATGCCAAGTATGTCAGCAGCAATTCTCTGAAAACACAAGAAGACCTATGGAAAAAAATAAAATTGCATTTAAATGATTAAAAACAGACATCCTTTAGGTTCTTTCAAATTTATCAAACTATTCTTGAACTGTAAACAACGAGATATACAAAAGTATGACCTGCGCAAAGCAGATCTGAAAATAACCTCATCTGGTACATTCAATTTTGTTTAAAAATTGGAGAAAATAACTCAACAATGCTACAAGCAATGAACAGTATACTGGATTGTTAAGTAACACTCCCACTCTGCCTCCAGAGACCTAAGTTTAAACAAGCTTTTACACAGCCCACCTCTCAAATTCTACTCTCAGTGCTATAAAATATGAATAAGGGTATTCACTGATGTTTAGCACAAAAATATATTACCAGAGTATTGTGCAATAGAGATGTGGGTTTCTGAAACTGAGAACAGAACTATGCATCAGCATCATCAAAATCTCTACTATACGTGTTTAAAAAATATTAGCAGTATGAAAGCCAAGCAATGATACATTTGTTCTGAAGAGTCTTGCAAAACATTATGAGTGTTAATACTGAACAGAAGTTATCTAGGAAACAGGCAAGATGGTGCAGAGCATGCACCAGCCTAGCAGAGTCAGACTTTGGACATGGTTTGACAGATAACATGGGGTGGCAATGCTATCATAACTAACCGCTTCACTTCATCTCAATCCAGTCCACCAACCTTACTGTTTAGGCAGCTGCATTTTAAATGAGATTAAAGAACACAACAGATGTTAAAGAGCAGCAGCTTAAGCTTGCACTGCTGCTGAACACTGTATTGTCAAGCTACGCATTTTATCTACATGGTTATTCAATTGAGCTCACAATCTAAACTAACAACAAACATTGCTTTTCCTCATGTAGCTGCCACCCCCAAAAGGTAAGGTCTGTAAAAGTGCTTTTAGTCATTTTCAATGAGAATTCAAAAAAATACCATTTACACAATCTCTTCTTACACCTGGCATGGAAACTAGTAGCGAATTAGTGGCACAACCAACAGGCTACAGTAGCTTCCAAAATAATTTCTCTTTCTCTTAACTATTTGGTCTATTCTACTAGCATCCACACAGCAAGACGGGAAATCCTGAACAGGCTTACCTTTTCCAGAGACCAACTTTAACCCACACTAGGCTCTCAGGTGCACTAGATCACCTGCCATGAGGATGCTTTGTGTACAAAACATGGGGCACGAGTTCAGTGCTTCAGTTATGTAATTTGATGGACAGTAAGACAGTTGGCTATACTAAATCTTTCATGAAAGTTTTTCTCCCCTGAGGAGACTTTTGCGCTTTTCTCTGTACATAAAATTATCTTTTGCAAACGTTGGAAAGATCTGAGGTAAACAAAACAAATCATTTATCTTAACTGAGTATTTAAGATTCCTCTAGTACTGGAGTACTGCTACTCCACAGTAGCAATGGATGGCCTCTTCTTAAATCACTCTCTAGGGTAAACATCCTGTCTTTCCTGCACAAGTACCCAAATACATGAAGATTTTGAAAGGCCAGTGTGCGGTAACAGTGAAAGAGTTAATTCAAATCTATATTGAACTAAAAATAAACTACTGTAAACCATACCTCATACCTTCTTTTGCTAGTAGATATTTAAACAGAGATTTCTGGTTAATGCTTTCTATGTATGTTCAGATTTACTTTTGTTTTTAAACAGTACATTAAAAGAAAGTACAATCAGTATATGTAGTGAGATGCGGCTGTAATTCATGGATCAATTAGAAAGATGTAATGAAGATTCCTTCATAATTTGTAATGTTAAATATATCTACCTTATAAAAAAGAACTGCTTTTTCCTCCTATTACCAAATCCCACCAAAAAGACTGTCTCCTTGAGAAAGAAATACATTTTATCAGATGCACACTTCATTGACTGAAGTATTATAAAATTTTTCTTCTGTTCCTAGCATAAAAAGCTTGAATTTTCACACTTTATACAAAAATTTATGCCAAAGATTTAACACAAACTATAAGGAGAATCAGGATTTACTGCATTTGTAACAGCAGTATTGTTAGACTGTACAGAATAACTATTATCTTATAAAATTAGCCACTCCAGTGTAGAAGTTTCATCAAAGATCTTAAAACAAGTGATTCCATTTGTTACAGAATTATATTTCCATATAATTGAACATGGTCTTACTGTTCAATAACGTAAAAATAAAGTAAACTATTTTATCATAAATAGGAGACAGATACAGGACTGTTTTATGGGAATGACAAAGTCATTAGGCATATGACAGAAATCAAGCGAAACAATACAGTGTGATTTAATTAGACTGATATGGTCAATTGAAAAAGAAATTTTTCTTCCATAGGCTTCCAACTAAAACAAATAGCTCAAGAGTCAAAAAATTGTTCAAAAATGTGCTCTGCAAAGCATTACAAATACCAGAATGTTCAAATTTCAATGGACCTGCAGAGGGAGTGTCTCTCATGGCTCAGGACCCTTATTAAAAACTTTGATCACAACAGGGTCTTGCGACATTATCAACTGTTGGAAGTGTCTATATTGATGGCCTACAGATGGGACTCCACCTGCATTGAATGAATACATTTAGCTACAAGCTGACAGCAAACAGAGATCTAGCTGGTCTCAGCTCTCATGCTGATGTATAAGCTACACCATTTCCATATTAAAATGTAAGCCTCAAACTGCAAATCAGATGAGAAGCTACTGTAATTAATGAAGAACACATACACTTATACAAGGGTATTGTATATAAGAACTATTTTTAAGAACTTTTTTATTAAGAACTATTTTTCACCCAAGTAGGTAGGCAAAAAGAAACTGCAGCAGCCAATGATTTCTTATGTGAAGTATAATAAAACTGCTACATCATATCCCAGACTAATGGCTTTCTTAAAAAAAAAAAAAAAAAGAGAGAGATCCACAAGGATTTTCTTCTTCTTACTTACAGAATCTCCTGTCTTGGCCGACACGAAATGGCTACTGAAATTGTTTTCCTGACAAAATCGTTGGTGCTTGTCAATTTTCACTGTGCGCATATGCTCCAAGTCAACTAAAAATAAGTTGAAAAAAGGAAAAATTACAGAAGTACAGCCCATTTAACTGTCTCAGAAATTATGCATTGGATACATATCAGATGTAATCTTTTTCTTTATAGGTGTATGCAAATACAAGCTTCTTTCTTTTTATAATTATTTGCCAAAATAAAAATAACTAAGTACCTCAGATGAACATAATTTGCAAAACTAAAATGAAACCACAATTAAAATTATATGGTCAAATGCAACAAATTCATATCTGAAATAAAGGACAAATTTATTTCTGCATACACACAAGAAATTTGTAACAACTTCACTGCTAACTACACATAAAAACCTGATACAGAACTAAATTTTGTGCATTCTGTTTGCAAGGATGATGCATATTGGAGATTCCACTGTAATCTAAAGACTTTTACAAAATAGAGTTCACCAAGTACATCTTAATCTACATATTTTTTCTAAGTAAAAAATGTAAATGAGTTATAAAGAATTTTATTGCAGAACATGGTACAGCAAAAACATTCACTATAGTAAAAAAAATTAACTGAGTAAAAACATTAGTGCTTAGTTACTTGTATGTGAAATTTTCAATTCCACAAAGGTATGGTTCAGAAAATTAAAAACAGTAAAATGCGTATTTCAAGAATCACACACATTTTAATTTTTATCATTTTACAACCATTGGAAGTACAGCAAAGCTTTCAAATGGTATTTTATGTTGAAAAGCACTAGTTGGTTCCAAAACAACATGGAACTCAAGTCTTGCACAGGTTTTATTGTGTACATTCCAGTTCCTCCAAATCTGATCCTAACGTAACTGGAAACTATATTGAACAGTTTCTCTTTTTATTGCATTACAGTTCCTATAAGGGTGTTGACTCAATGCCGTCAAATTATAAGGCAAATATATTCAGAAGGATTTAAGGACAACCAGGCTCTTTGAGTCAATACAGGAAAAAAAAACTTAAACTGATTTCCTGAGGAAGGGACCCAACTGACTTGTAAAAACTTGTAAATTTGCAAATCTAGTAAGCCTGCATAATAGTGTCATTTGATTATCAGCTGAAAAAATGCTCTCCTACTACATAAAAGGCTTTATTTTAAAATGATATTGGAGGTCTTTAATTTGTAGGCTCTGGAGATTTTCTCTTGGCGATTTTTAGTCTAACAGGGGATTCCTACACCCCATTTATACTGCTTACCTTGGTTAATGTGGAGTTTTTGCCACATATTACTGTTCCTTGCACATCAGTAAGGCCTTGTTTATAAGAACAGGCCTAAAATCATCCAGTTACCACAGGCATTAATTTGTGAAGGACTAAAATACTAAGCTATTAACACTGATGTTTGTAGTACAGTCTTTCATAATACTAAACGCAGAATATATAGTTTCATAAAAAATAGGAAGAACAAACACGTTTACTAGGATAAAACCCAAAGTCGATAACAATTTTGTTACAAACTCATGCAGTCTACATAACAGCTACTTAACTTTTTCCTCTGAAAAATAACTACCAGAAGAGAGCCTCTGCTGAAATGCTTTTAAGAACAAAACACAGCATACTGCCTAAAGCATATCATTATTAACTATTATTTTTACTCTTCACATATCAGCCTTAAGTGCATCTTGGAAAACACAACAGTGAGATTACTCTTTGGGGAAAAATAAATACATATTTTCCTTATTTTTATTTGATGAGCTCTTAAAGGAACCTTAACCCCACCTCCAAATTTCACTCACTGTATTTCTTTGACTATACCCAAACCCCAAACACCTACACATGATTACAATAAAAGGAGCAAGAGAGAGAGAGCGCGCGTTCACACTGTATCCCTTTACAATACCACGACATGCTTATGTAAGTCCATAAAGACAAGCTCGCAAGTTACAATCTCTCTCAGACTCTCTTTCCCAGAAAGGAAAGAATAGGGAGTGGAAGAACACAACAGCATGCTAAAAGGTTGATGAATTTTCAGGAAGAAAATGCCACTGCCATCTTGGAAATCATATCCTCCAATTCCTCCCATCTTCTATTTGAAGAAACGACAAGAATAATATATGGTCAGTGAAGCATATACTTTAAAACAGTAGAGAAATTGAAAGCATACAACATCCTAGAATCTACCAGACTGGAAGTGAAAAATCAAGGTGAAATTATGTTTCTGAATTTTGGGTAATTCTCAGTCCCTCTCCCCACTTACAAGTATTTCAGCTTGTGCCTTCTGAATTATGGGCAGTCTGCTGTGAACTGTACAGTTACTGTTACGCTAGATAACTGCCAGGTAACTGTCCATGTGCACACTCTCAGCCACAGCAAACGCAAGGCAATTCATGTTACATTAGCTCTCAATGAAAGAGGGCACAGTTTTAGTAAAAGAAAAGGGTTTCAAGCATTAATAAACGTTTAACTATAAAAAGTTGCAGTTTGCAGTCAATGAAAGACGACTAGGCTGACTCAAATTACTTTGCATTGCCACAGGCTAAGGGCACAATCATAGACAGTTACTGAAGATCAGCTAAACTACAGGGAATAGTTACCCTCCAGTCCTCGGGGTTTTGGTTTTTGGGGTTTTTTTGGGGGGTGGGGGGGGTGTGTTTTTTTTAACATCTGACATTGGTCAGCTCAACAGGCAGAATTCTTAGCACACCAGGAGATAAGTCTTGTCCAGCTTTTATTTAGACACCACAGCAAAAAGACTTTAAGGAGGGATTTGGAGGAGAAAAATGATTTTCTAAAAAGATGTTTATAAGGAATGCAGGGACTTTATAGAAAGAAAACTAACAGCTGGCCAATGTGGGCTG